ATTCGTGTATATTCTTATGAAGCTGATCAACACTTAACATAAAATCAAATAATTTATATAAAAAAAGGAAGGGCAGACAAAAGAGTACATATGAAGAGAAACCAGAGCAACCAGAGTTCCTGGAAAAAAATGAATAAAAATACTGAAAATACTGAGACCCTGGAAAAGAAACCAGATAAAAATGCTGAAACACTGGAAAAGAGATAATCAGAACTTCAGGTATGATCAAAGCAGTGATAAAAATAAAAACAAGAGGCCCATGGGTCACATGGCTCACCTAAGAAACTTTGAACATTCTGTTCTTTACCAGATTTCCCCCTTGTAATACATATTGTGACCCAACCCTACCCGATTGATCCTTATTTAGAAAATTTGAAATCTACACTACCATAGGATGCTTTGATTCAACATTGTAAAACTTTGATTCCCCATTGTGGCCCCATCCTACCCCCGGGGGTCACGATTAGAACAATTTAGAATCTACACTATCCCAGGATGCTTCCACATAAGTTTCTGCTTTTCTGGCCCAGTGGTTCTTGAGAAGAAGATTTTTCCTATATATTTCTATGTAAAAATTTGATTCCCCATTGTGGCCGCGCCATATCCCCGGGGGTCATGATTTTAACAATTTAGAACCTGCTCTACCTAAGTATGCTCCCACATAAGTTTCAGCTTTTCTGGCCCAGTGGTTCTTGAGAAGAAGATTTTTTAAGATTTTCCTATATATTTCTATGTAAAACTTTGATTCCCCATTGTGGCCGCGCCCTATCCCCAGGGGTCATGATTTTTACAATTTAGAATCTACACTTATGACCCCAGGATGCTTCCACATAAGTTTCAGCTTTTCTGGCCCAGTGGTTCTTGAGAAGAAGATTTTTTAATGACCCCACCCTATTTTTGCCTTTTCTTGATTATCTCCCCTTGTGAAAGGACTTGGCCCTTAATTTTCATAATTTAAATTCCCCTTCACCCAAGGATGCTTTGTACTAAGTTTGGTCAAAATTGGCCCAGTGGTTCTTGAGAAGTCGAAAATGTGAAAAGTTTACAGACGAACAGACGGACAGACAGCTAGACAAACGACGGACAAAATGTGATCAGAAAAGCTCACTTGAGCCTTTGGCTCAGGTGAGCTAAAAAAACTAAATTTGACCAAAAAATGTAAAAGATGAATATCAGTACAACATATAGGTGATGTTTTGGTTATAATTCGTCCTCCACATCCTGTAGGTAGGAATTATTAAATAGATAACCCAGTGTAGAAGGAGGCTGTATGTAAAACAAAACAAATGAAATGAGATGTCCTTTGTGTTACCTTTTGTCTTTGGTGTTACAACTTTTTTTTGGACATACAAATACTTGTACATGCACCAATCAATGATTCTAGGTCCTATGATAGTAATCCTGCATTATTCATGCATAACTTATTTTTATTTTTTGTTGATGTTTACATATCTTTATAATTGGACAATATGTCTATATTGTTACTTTTTAATCATTGGCGTTACTAGTCAGACTCCAAATGTAAAAAGACATGAAATCCCAAGCAATTTTTTTCTTAAAATCATATACTTTCATTTACATCTATTAGATAATGCCATTGTTGAGCTTTTTGCGGGGGAAGGGGAACAAATTTATTATTTATTCTTAAGGTTTGAACAAAATGTCTTTTGTGTTACTTTTATGTCCTTTGTGTTATGAAAATGTCCTTGGTGTTACTCAACCATTTTTTCTGAATTTATATTCTAAATCTTTCCACAATTTTATCAAAACTTGCTACACAACCCTGCTGTCTTCTAATACGAAGTATATTTGTAAAGCCAGTGTTTCATGCTGAGGTAAAATGATATATGCTTAAGGTTTATATGTAAGAATAACCAAATTTTATAATTTCAACAACTTTCAGCTTCATGTCATCTTAAGGGGGCTCTCTACAACGTCACAACATGGCGTACTTCCGTAAAAACGCCATTTTGATCCCAAATGATCAGATTCAAATTCACTAAACACAGATAAATCACTGAGTATAACACAACATGCGATATTGTGGATGGAATGTACATTATCAATTAATACAGTGTATGCCCAATACGTATCCTTTCTTTAAAAATGAATTGTTTGTCAATTTATTCAATTTCTACTTATTTAATTATTAACTAAAACATTTACAAACTTATTAGAATAAGATTTTTAGATGAGAAAAAAATTATATAAAACATGGCTTGTCCATATGCTAATTCACCATTACGTGTCAAAACGCCATACACACAGAAATTTATTTCTCCAATAAGCATATATGCTTTTCAGCAAAATATTTCCCCCCAAAAATGCAAATTGATAAGATAAGACATATGTATTATCTTCCCATCGACTAGAGGATACTCTGTTCTCGATTTGTATACACCCGAATGAATGGTTATACCCGGTGAAATTTGGCATGACCCAAACGTTTGATCACCATTGATTGTCAGCTGTTTACAAGTATGGGAAACGTGCAGCTTTTAGACGAAGTGTGCATTTGGTTATAGGAATTTCTTTTACCGCTTTTGGCCATTTACCATCTTAACTTGTTTTGTTATATATAGCACTGAATAACACATGCAAGTTGGATAAAAACGGTAAGTATAAATCTACCTTTCTCAATACCATGAATTCACTAAATACATGTCTTTGTCATTGACTGGAAACGCGATGATTTTCGCTTAAACTCATTGAAAAACAATACATGTACAATACGAACTTCTTTCAATGTCCTTGCGTGACATTTGTTTAATACTTGTGCAAGTAGAGTTTATTTGAAGTTTATATAAAAAAAACAGTACCAAGATATTTGAGTCCACTCTTAAAGCGGATCTCTCACACCTGAATTTTTGTGATGTTTATAAATTTTTGACAGTTTTTCAATTTTTTTCAATTTCTTTTTTTCATTGTTTTTACCCTTTGATATTATATATCTTTTCAGATATTGAAGAGGATCCAACCAGCTATTCTCAAGAAAATGCTGTTTAAGTTTTTTCTTTTGTCTATTTTTGTAAATTTAAATAAAAATTATGTTGATTTTATTTTTATCTTTGTTGATTATTATTTCAATATTTTATAACACTAAACTTTGAAGAGAAATTTAAAGCACTGGGCTTTTAAAAATATAGATAGGAGGGATTTTAACAAAATAAATAAAATATTTCAAATATTTCTAAAAAATAAATTGAAGTACTTTGGAACCTTATTTTATCGGATATGGGGCCTATTATTAGAAACAAATGCATGCAACAAAAGTCAGTTATACTTTATAGGTGTAGAGAGCCCCCTTAAATTTCTCTCTCAAGAACCCTAAGTTTGTTTTGATAGAATATTTTTGATCAGGATGTTTAGATTATGATTCTAGAAACCTTAAGTTTGCATAAGTTATTATTTTATTGCGATTTCTAAGTAAGTAACACCATGGACATTTATTGTTGGATGCATGTACTTATAGTGGATTTTATAGTAAATGTTGATTGAATTCTTAGTGTTTATACATTATTTACACATCACTGATGTTTCAATACTAACATAAAACTTAAAAGTATTCAGTTTTCAGGATTTATTTTCTCTGAATTCTGTTGATGGAATCTGGACAAAATTTGAGAATGACCCACATAATCAATAGAGCCCCGCCCTAACACCAGAACCCCTGACCCCAAATCTGAAAGAGGCACTCTTGCTCATCATAACTATGTACTTCATTTGTTTATTTGATACCCAGGAGCAGAGAAGAAAATTTTCAAAGAATTAATGCATTTTCACTATATAATCAATAGAGCCCCACCCTAGCATTACCCCTGCGAGGTGAAATTCATAATTTCAGGAACTTTTATGAATCGTTCATGAACATTCATGATGTGTTCATGAACGGTTCATGACTGGTTCATAAAGATGGTTCATGAACTTTATTCATGAATATATTCATAAAATGTAGTTCATGAACAAATGATGAATTTATATGAATATTGGTAATTTTCATTTTAAAGACAGAAAAAATGTAGAGTTCAAGGTATTATGAATGTTCATGGATTTTCATGAAGACTAAAATAATTGACAAAAATGATTGACAGAAAACACTCATTACTCTCATAATGCAACTTTTGCATGCAGATGCAATTGTTGAACAAGCCCCTGGCATAATTTATATTTAATAACATTCTTTCACCAACTATCTGAAAAAATAAATCATGAAATCTCTAAACATTTCGTGTTTTTCTTTAATTTTAATTAAACAAACACTGCATCACCACTGACAGCATTTTTTTCAAATTGATTATTTATGTTTCTTCATAATTTAAATTAAACAGTTATATTCATCATAATGTGCTTTAAATAATGTCATTTTTCATCACACAACTTTTTTCGACCGAATTTTCTCCAACATCAAACTTTAAGCAAGTTGCAAAATAAAAAATTCACAGTTTCTTTTACAATGTTTTTTGAGACAAATATAAAGCATATACCACTCAGATGTACAATATAAGCACACTTTTTAAAATGTATGTATTCTCAATGAAACTGCAAAGTATTTTACATCAAAGGTTATTAACAGATATATCCAAGAAAAAATAAGATTACTGGGGGATCACCTTGGTTAAATTAATGATAATCAAGTTATGATATACATGTAATGCAGTAAACTAAAGTATGCATTTTTTTTTAAATAAGAGGTTAGATTCATTAAATGACATTGGCCAAGGATTGGGAGAGGTCATTGAAACCTCAACAGGATATACATTTACAATAAAGTGCCAGTGGCCCATGTACATTTACTGTACAAAATTAGTGACTAGAGTGACAAACACATGTATTAAATGCAAAAATATATGTAGTACACAACTACATTTATTTGATACAAAGATCCCATAAAAATGAACAGTTGCTATTTTCCACCAATGTACATGCCAAAGATCCCAATTATGGAAGATACAAAACTTCTGACATGTTGCTAGAATCACATCCTCACAGATATCCCATGAAATTTGCAATAGAGGGTTGACAGATATTTGGCATCACCAACGGATTCACTTTTAGTACGAAGGCTCAGCAAGTTCGATGTTGATCATTCAAACAGACACTTCAAACTTCCCTTGCACAATTTCTGAAAGAGGAGATGACCATTTAAGATGTATCATTATTGATATCAGTATAAATATATGACAAATAATAAACTAAAGCTCTACAAACAATTGTTCTTTTCTACCTGGCAGATCAGTTTACTGTAGAATATGAATTCACTGTCTTGCAATTTTTTGTTCAAATTAGGATTAATTCTGATATTAAAATGTAAAAATGTGAAAAGTTTATAGACAACAGACAAACACAAGACTGTGACACTGATCAAAAAACTCACTTAGGCCTTAAAATGGCTCAGGTGAGCTTAAATGAAAAGGCTAGAGCTGAAGCTCAATGACTGACTAACATTGAAAAAAATTAATTTCAATTCATGTGATTTTATTGATTAATAAAATAATGAAGAAATCTTACCATTTTTTTTATACAGTTCTTGTCCTAACTCTTGTGAGCATCCGGATTCCTGTAAAATGCATGTATACTTCATAGAAGATGATATCTTTGATTAAATTTGATCCAAAATAATTATACATACCCATGCTGTTAGCATGTTTAGATTACCTTTCAGAATTCATTGTTAAAAATAATAAGGATATGGAAATTAGGCATGTTAAGAATATAAATCTTTAAATGTTGTTTACTTGGCATAGTTGCAATATTTATTTTAATCTTATGCTTAAAGACATAGATTAATAAAATCAAAGTTAGTTTATTTGTTTTGAATGATAATTTGAGCTGGTTCTCACCATATTCACAAGCCTAGTGACTGATTGGTTAAGCATCTACATGTATATGCACTTTTATCAAAGGCCAGGGCTGTGAAAATCATCTCAGGCAATGCAGCAACTATTAAAACAATCGAAACATGCAAGATAAGAGCTGAAAATGGTCATGAACATGCATTACAAAATATATAATTAATTACATGTACATCATACTCTGTAAATGTTATCTTGAACAAAGGAAGGTACAGGTAAAATTCTTTACATCAGTTTGATTCCAAGCAAGGAAATTCGGGTTAAAATCAATGACCTTAATGATATGTATAGATTTGTTAAATAATGATTACAGAAATAGTGCTTGTCCTAACGATTTCACCGTCGGGCATTTTATGTATGGTGCCCGGATTAATCAAAAGTAGCAGAAACATTCTTCGTTCGAGGACACATAAAATACTGTACAATATTGTACCTACCGGTCTTAAAAATGTCGTCATCTTCTTCCATCCCAAGCTGACCATGATCCCCCTGTTCGTGACACTCATTCCAACTTTCCTACTGTGGAACATCAACATGGTATTCGATATTTTTGAATTTCGGTGTTGTTAAAATTAATTGTTCATCGAGCCCGACTTCGATCCCGATGTTATTGTAATATTAGTCCAATTTAATTGATGACGTAAAAAGTTCGAATTCTTCATTGATAAAACTTGTTTTGATATAAAAAAAATTGTATTTTCAGTGAAAAATTATTCAGATAGTGTTTGTTATTTTTTTAAAAAGAAATCTTGGAAATTCGAAACTAACGTATTTCTTAGCTCTACCGTACATTTTTGAAAAGGCGCAAACTTGAAAACGCGCAAGACGTTGGAAGTGGGAATTTGGAGAGTGGAAGGATCGGTATTTGTGATCTATAATATTTGCATAGTCACTGATCTTTGTCAACTTTTAAAGAAAATAACAGAATATGAAGAAGGAAGACTATATAGGATTGATCTACTTCATAACTGGTGAGTGACAAAAAATGGAGGCAATCACTGAGTCAGAAATCTTTCTGTAAATGTTACTGTCTATTTGTAAAATTAATAAATATGTCTTTTTTTTAAAATGAAAGTTTTGTCTAACTTTGCTTCGAGTTTGGATCCAACCATATAACATACATTAATTATAGACTGAGACTCGAAACATTCATAGGCCTGATTGATCTACAAAATGGCGGTAGAAAATAGGCTTAAATTCCATTCAGAATGTTTTAATTTGGAAGTGCCTCTGATGCAAAATTAAAATGCAAGAAAATACACAAAAAAGTCTTATGTTTTACAATCATGGGTAATTTCAGAAAATCTTTCTTTTTGAAGGAAAAAGAGAAGCAGTTCACAAATGTTGATGAGCAGAAGACAAGAAACTCTGGCTGCAAAAAAAAATCTGAGCTCTTGAAAAAGAAAGAAAAAAAGAATTGAAAATATGAATGATATTCAATCAAAGGATCCAAATGATGAAATTCTGGAAATTCCACATGGAGAGACAATAAGGATTTTTGAATTGACCATCTCTGCTATAAGAACTGCTTGAAAGCTGTTACCCTGGTGCTGAACAAACTTTTTTCCTAGACTGGAATTAAAAATTGTTCAATTTCTGGCATTAAAACACAATTTGAAATATGCTGAGGAAGGACCCCCCTCTCCTTTTGACCAAGTAAGGTTAAACATTCTGCAAGGAGTTGCATTTGAATTGAAATTTTTTATACTTTTACCAGGAATGAACTACATTACTCATTTACTATGGTTTAATGTGTCAGAATTGTCTATTTTAAGTTTTTTGACAAAGATTTTGTTGCCATGGTTGGAAAACAAACAACATTTCTGTGAAATCTTTCAAGATGCTGTATTATAAATCATCTACTGTTACTTTTTTAGCATGACTTCATGCATTTTCACGAATAAACATGAATAATAATATTGGATTTTTTGTTTACAAATAAGCAAGAATATTCATGAATGCTAATGGTTCATGAATTTTATTCATTCATGAACATTCCTGAAAAAATTCATCAGATTATTCATGAATAGTTCATGAAGATGCAATGAACTTGTTATTGGACATTCTTGAAATGATGAATCTTCATGAATATGACTGTTCATGAATTATTCATGAAAAAAAATATTCATGAATATTCATCAATTTTCTTTCATGAATAAAAATTCATGATTTGAAAATGTCCAATAATAAGTTCATAGGATCTTCATGAACATTTCATGAAGATTTCATGAATAAAATTCATGAAAAATTCAAGGAAATTCATGAATTATTCATGATCGTCTCGCAGGGGTAGAACCCCTGACCCTGGGGCCATGAATTTCGGTAGAGGACCCAATTTTGGTAGAGGACTCAATGCTGATTACAACCATATCAACAGTTTGACTGCTTGATGTACAAGAGTAAAAAAGAAGATTTTTAAAGATTGTACTAATTTTAGTGGTTTTGGCCCCACCCCCAAGGCCCAAGGGGGGCAGGGACCATGGAATTCATAATTTTTGTTTCCCTTCACCCATAGATGCTGTATGCCAAAATTGGTTGAAATTGGTTCAGTGGTTTCAGAGAAGAAGCTGAAAATGTTCAAATGTTAGCACACGACGCATGACGACAGACGAAAACGGATAGCAATAGGTCACCTGAGTATACTCAGGTGACCTAAAAATGAATCTATCATAAACTACAGAGTAGACTTAAACAGAGTTATCACTTTGCATACTACCTTAATATTTCACAGTCAAAAACTTAAAACAAATAAAATTCTTACTTATAATATTCAGTCTGATAATATTACTAGATTGATTTCCTCCAAATGCTGGTCTACAGGAAACTTCCTGATTATGCCATGATCGTTCAGGAATAACAGAAATAAGAAACGTTGTGTCATTCTCGCATTGTACTTTTTCTATAATACAAAATTTTTTCCCACAATTTGATTTATCAAATGAGCAACTTTTTCCTGGTGCATATCGAAACTGAACTGCAGCTGGTATGTTGGAAAAGGTACACTGAAATGTCACCGTCTGATTTACTATGATCTTCGGTGGTGAATAGATAGAAATGGTTATCTCTCCTGGAAGAAAAACAAACAAATTTGCTTAAAACAAAATTTGCAGACATTTACCTATTGAAATCACAAAATTTTACCAAAAGCAATACTTGTAACTTAATTGAATTGCAAAACATACAATTTTTAACACTGTATATAACCCTTCCACAAGACTAACTAAAGTCTAAGCATTTTGATAACATAAACAATTTTTTCAACACAGATGAAAAATTCATTAGTTTACTGACCTTGACACTATAATAATATTCCAAATTATTTTGTGATAAATATTCTGATTGTACACATAGCTACTCTCTCTCTTTCTCTCTCTCTCTGCATTTCCACTACTTAATCACTAGAACCCCTGACCCAAGAGCCTTAAAATTCATAATTTAGGAAAGGGCACCTTTCCTCATAATAATAAGTTGCATATATAGTTTATTGGCTTAATACTCAAGAGCAGAGGATAAGATTTTCAAAGAAATATTGCATTTCCCTATATAATCATTAGAGCTCCGCCCTATTACACCAGAACACCTGACCCAAGGGCCATGAAATTCACAATTTTGGAAGAGGCAGCCTTCCTCATGATAACTATAAAGTGTGTTTGTTTAATACCCAGGAGCAGAGAAGATTTTCAAAGAAGTACAAGTACTGCATTTTAACTATATAATCTTTATAGCCCCACCATAGCACTGGAGCCCCTGAAGCTGGGGCCATGAATTTCACAATTATCGTGGTAGAGGACTCAATGCTTACTACAACATGCACAACAAAAGATGAACACTGACAGACAAAAACGTATAGCAATAGGTTATCTGAGTGACTCACATGTCACCGGAAAATCATTTAATATCCTGAATGGGTTTATAACAGATATTAATCCCATCTTTAAGTACAGGTATTAATATTTCTTGGAATAACTAATTTTAAAAATTGTTACCCAATAATTACACTTGTATTTCTGCAAGATTATAGTTACGTTTACAGATTGTCTGTACAAAAATATTTTCCCATGTATAGTAAAACCTTTTAATATTGTCTGTTTTCTGTCACAAGATGAAACACACCCTTTAAGTTTGGCTTAATGGTGGCTTAAAGGTCCTTAATGGTGGTTTAATGGTTGTCTTTAAGTCACCATTAATTCACCATTAAGCACCTTTAAGTAACATTTACACCACCATTAAGTTACCATTAAGCAATCTCAAAGTCCTTAATGGGTGCTTAAATGTAGCTTAATGGTAGCTTAATGGTGGCTTACAGGTCCTTAATGGTAGCTTTTAGACCACCATTAAGTCACCATTAAGCTACCATTAAGCTAGACTTACAGGTGCTTAATGTCCAAACTCCATTAAGCTACATTAAGCTACCATTAAGCCACCATTAAGCAGTCGATATTACTGTTTTTATGGGTGAAAAATTATTAAGGTCTTCCGTCTTCACGGAAGACCTTATAGTTATTGCTCTGTTTCTTCTTATTATTAAGGTCTTCCGTCTTCACGGAAGACCTTATAGTGATTCTACTGTTTCTTATTATTAAGGTCTTCCGTCTTCACGGAAGACCTTATAGTTATTGCTCTGTTTCTTATTAAGGTCTTCCGTCTTCACGGAAGACCTTATAGTGATTCTATTGTTTCTTATTATTATTATTATTCTTTTTATTATTTTTTTGACTTTTTAATTTTGTGCACGCGATTTCTCGAAAACTACTGGATGAAATGACGTGAAATTTTCAGAAATAATGTGTCGTAACATGAATTTTATATATCCGGGAGATTTTTTGGAAATTCGCTTTCGGTGCCAAGTTACGGACAATTTCCTGAAATTAAAATGACATTTTGTCCGCGATTAAACTCAAAAACAGTAAAAGATATCAACATGAAACTTTCAAGGATTAGGCCATACCAATTTGTAAAATAGTTCTTCGGATTTTCAAAAATAAAAAGTGAGGCGAGCGAGCGAAATTTTTTTATAAATATTATTTTTTATTTTGGGTTTCAAAATTATGAGGCGAGCGAATATAATTAATATTTTATATATTTTAATTAAGTGTGTTTTCAAAGAGCTTGAACCTAAAAAATTAACATAGATATCATTTGCATACCACATAAACTTATCATTCTTAACTTTTTGGAGATTTTTTTTAATAAGTAAAAATGTGTCAAATTTCAAAGACTTTACTTTCATAAATGTAATGTTTTCAAACATCTCCTCTGCTTCCATTTCTATTGCTGTGTATGAAACAACTTTGTACCCATTGTTTTTAACTATAGTACACAGTGTTGTGCAATTAAAAAAATCAAGTACTAGAAAGAAATTAATTGCTGATAAAAGTCAGGGTACTGAGGTCATTCTTTTTAAAGTCAGAGTTTAAATTCTCAATATCAAATTCAGTCATGTTTAAATTTTTATGAAATAAAATTAAAAGGAACTTCAATAAATTATCTTCCTTTTCTCTGATCATTGCACTAGCTCATTTAGAATGAAATTAAATTCATTTTGTTTTCATCTTAAATCATTCAAAAAAGAAATATATTTTATGTGAGTCACAAAACACTTATCTTTCAGTTGATTGAGTGATCGTAAATAATTTAAAGATATTGCTGCATGTATTTACCATAAACGGAGGAACAGAGGAAATTCGGATTAGGAAAAAACGATCGCTTTTGGAAGTAAATAAGTCAGGTAGTTCTGCAAATGGATAAGATTATGGAGATTTATTGACAGTAGGAGTATGTTGTCTGGAAAATATAAACTGGTTGGGAATTTTATAGCCAAAAACGAGTTAAAATACTGGTTGTGCTTTTCATGTATTGCGTGTGTAGTTATATCTTTTACTAGCCCAACGGGCTACCTCCTTGTAGAAAACCACTATCCCGACCCCAAAAAATGTTAGCCCCGGGCGTCAGGGGATGCTAATTGCACACCCCTGGTACCTATGAACAGTTACAGACATGGTGCAAAACTTCACAAACTGCTTCAATCTCACTATAAATCCCGCGCATCTGTCATACATGTGTGTTTGTTGCAAAAAGTCGAGAGAAAAAAATTGTAGTCGGATTTTGTTGGAAGCGCGCGCGGACATTTTTTTTTTAATATTATAATTTGCATTTGTAATAAATAGAAGCGGTGAATCCGACGAACTATATTAGAAATTGGTATGGCCTTAGAGATCGTGATATATACCATCCAGGACGCGACTCTTCGTTCGTCGTCGGTACTTCCTGTCGTTAGGAGAAGCGAATTGAAAAAATCGCATTTTCTAACTTTTTTGTTTTTCAATATTTTTTATTAATTTTTGGAATGATAATAGAGACTCTTTGATTGATGCTTACTATATAAGTTGTTTGGATATTGATTTGTCTGAACTCTAGATATTAACATTTGAAAATCTGAAGCGGGACCAAGATGGCGGCTCTCTCTGTCAACTCCGCCATTTTGCGAGTAGGGGTTTATGGAGGCAGCTGAGCGTTTGATTAAACCATTCTGACATAAGGATACATGAAATGTAAAAAACTACTTCCACTCTCACGTAGTAGTGAAATGGTTGGAGGAGTTACCTCCCGTTACTTGTTTATATTATAATAGATAATCAATGTAAATATTGTAATTAATTGGTCAATTGACAAAAGAATTATACAAGTAATATTGATAAATGATGTTCTGTTAGAAAATAATAATAGTGTTGCCAAAAGAAAGGCAGTCTGTAGTATTTTATCAATATGATATCTGATAACTTATGATCATTGATTAAGTTGAGGTACAAGGGGGCAGTACAGCCAATTGGCTTGTGTCTTCACTTTGGTACAGAAACGAATTAGTGTATCGATCAAATCGAATTGTGCAAAGTTGCCGTAGTCAGTGACTAGTTAAAATATAGCTGTGTGACATTAGCTATAGGTTTGTCATTAGGACAGAGAAGCTCTCACAAAAATAAATACTGTGTAAGTATATTGTAGCTACTTGGCTAGAGTTATATAGGCAACTTGGTAAGCAGTAAGACACCAGGCAGGTGTTAAAGGCTAAATCAAGAGGCACCAGGCAGGTGGCTGTTGACTTATATAGTCAGTTGTATGGTGAGGCAATTGTCATATGGCACCAGGCAGGTGCCGGTATTAACTGAAGATATATAAGTGTACAAAGCACTTAGGTCATTTGATTTTAAGACACAGGCAGGTGTCATATTATTATCTGTAAATATTGCATTCAATCATATCCCCAGTAAAACTCGGTAATCCGAGCACGGACCTACTGACCGCTCAGGTCCGACACGTTACAGTAGTAAGTTGCAATTGAGTGTCAATCTTAAAACTTAATTTCCGTTTCACTGCTTTAGTGTAACTGGGCTAGATACAATATGTAATGTGTATAATGTGTTACATATACTTTCTTAACATCGAAATAAAATAAAGGCGCTAAGAATGTTTTATTTTTAAAATTTAATTGAAGCTATGATACCTATTTAATAGATCAGTCCAAAGAAAAGGCGCGAATATTTACTCGTGGCGTTTGGCGCGAAATTATGAATGCTTTTTATAATTCTTAGACAGGTGAACTGTTGCAAAAGTATACACAAGTATGTTTAGAGCAGTACTCCCAATAGCTTAATGGTTAGCGCGTTGAGGATAAAAATAGTAAAAAAAAAAAAAAGCACATTCACGTTGGCGACATGGGTTCAATCCTCCTTGTGACCAAAATATTGAATCTCTTTTCAGCTCGATTTTTTGGGTTTCTTTTCCTAAAACGGACGGAAGACCTCTCGTTGCTCGCAACGAGATCGTATCTAGTTATTAAGGTCTTCCGTCTTCACGGAAGACCTTATAGCGATTCTATTGTTTCTTATTATTATTATTTTTCTGACCATCTAATTTTGTGCACGCGATTTCTCGAAGACTACTTGGTGGATTTTCACGAAATTCTCAGAAACAATGTGTTGTAATCTGAAGTTATTTTATCCGAGAGATTTTTTG